TTTTATGCGATTATTATTTATTTTATTTTATTTTATTTATTTTGTTTTGTTTTGACGGGGTGGGGGTGGGGGGATATTCTATGAACACAGGCAGTTGGATAAATTTGTATCACATATTCTCATTCTCATACAGTATTCAGCTTCGAGTATAAAGTGAAAATAAAATAGAATTGGTTATGTATTTTTAAACTACGCGTGTGTGTAAGTTTCATGTTATGGTGAATATTACCCACGTGTTCCTTGTCATCATCCTTCAGTGTATGTTAACCTCTCTTGACGAGCTACACTGTGCTTATACTGCTACTTCTGGTGTTACTGTCGAGTACTGTTACTGTCTCACACTGCTACTACTACTGCTACTGCTGTTGTTGTTTATGATGCTTGTGCTAATTTTTTGATGATGACAGCTTTACAATTTCTTAGCTACTGGTCTCACTTGTCTGTTACTGATAAGATAAATACTTGGGATAGTGTTGCTGAAGGAATGACACTGATGTTATAACACAACTCTTGGTGATGGTGGTAAAGTTTTATTATTTTACTGTTGTTGATTCTGCTGTCATTGTTCGTGGGCTGTGAGGTGGCGGTGTTACTGGTGGTGTTATTGGTGTTATTGGTGGTGTTATTGGTGTTATTGGTGGTGTTATTGATTGGTGTTATTGGTGTTACTGGTGGTGTTATTGGTGTTACAGCCGGGTTTTTCTCCAGCAGTTATTATGATGTTATTGATATATGACTGTGAAGTGAGTTGGTGTTCCCTTGATAACGTATTGTGAAGAAAAACATATAAGTAGTTGTTTGGTTATAGAAAAGTTATAGAAATGGTCACTTGTGCTCGTATTAAAGACACACACACACACACACACTTACACACACACACACACACACACACACACACACACACACACACACACACACACACACACACACACACACATAAAAGAGACTTATTCACGAAGCCCAAATGATATAAATCAAGATTTCCTTTACCAGGCAGCCAGTCGTTTGGTTGTGTAGTTCTCCTCAAAGCTCCATAAATCTTACTTCTCAATACGCTCACCGTCTATCAGGAGAGTTTGGTTGTGACAAGACTTTACACAACTTGGGGTGTTACAAGTTTCTCCTTCAGTATGGAGAGTGAAGTCAAATATACCTCCTCGTCTTCCCCCTCCGCCTTAAATCATGGCTTAATCAGATGTCATTGACTCTCCCAAACCAATACTGAAGCAGATTTACACGGCCGACAAAAACCTCCGACACGAATGATGCTCCACAAACCGTATTCACAACCCCTGATCGTAACTCACAAACCCGGCCGCTAGCGCATGACACGGCTTCCATACCTTCCTTCCTCCTTTAGCTGTTTTTCCAACCTTGAATACACAACCCTAAATGTCAATAGCCATATGCATACACTTTATTCAGGGCTAAGGATCAATGTGCATTTTTCCTAGCCCGTCCAATGGATCATCAGCGTCAATAGGGTGATGGTGTATTCAGGTTAGGTCCGCCCCGACCTATTACCTTCACGGCCAGATGTAGTGCAAACATCTCGCTCAACAAAACACTGCAATGAAATGTGACCAGAGTTTATGGCAATCGGATTTGGGGCGACGACGTCATGGGTGAGTGTGTGTGTTCCCACACACTGCTCGTAAATATTTGTGCTTCTCTGTATATACATGCATATATTGAATACATCTATACGTCTGCGTGTTAGTCGATGTCTGTCTCACATATCACTTGACAGGTGGGCGGAGGAGGGAGACCACTAGACAACATTACGAGTTTCAAGTAGCTCTTGCAGGCGTGACGTGATCCAGCCAGCCACAACACTGCACCGCCCTCAGGAGCCACAACACTGCACCACCCTCAGAGCCATAAAACTGCACCGCCCTCAGGAGCCACAACACTGCCCCTGAGGAGCCACAACACTGCACCACCTCAGGAGCCACAACACTGCACCACCCTCAGGAGCCACAACACTGCACCGCCCTCAGGAGCCACAACACTGCACCACCCTCAGGAGCCACAACACTGCACCACCCTCAGGAGCCACAACACTGCACCACCCTCAGGAGCCACAACACTGCACCGCCGCTGAGAGCCACAACACTGCACCACCCTCAGGAGCCACAACACTGCACCGCCCCTCAGGAGCCACAACACTGCACCACCCTCAGGAGCCACAACACTGCACCGCCCTCAGGAGCCACAACACTGCACCACCAGGAGCCACAACACTGCACCACCTCAGGAGCCACAACACTGCACCACCACCTCAGGAGCCACAACACTGCACCACCCTCAGGAGCCACAACACTGCACCACCCTCAGGAGCCACAACACTGCACCACCTCAGGAGCCACAACACTGCACCGCCCTCAGGAGCCACAACACTGCACCACCCTCAGAGCCACAACACTGCACCGCACCCCAGGAGCCCAACACTGCACCACCCTAGGAGCCACAACACTGCACCACCCTCAGGAGCCACAACACTGCACCACCCCTCAGGAGCCACAACACTGCACCGCCCTCAGGAGCCACAACACTGCACCACCCTCAGGAGCCACAACACTGCACCACCAGGAGCCACAACACTGCACCGCCCTCAGGAGCCAACAACACTGCACCACCCTCAGGAGCCACAACACTGCACCCCCGCTGAGGAGCCACAACACTGCACCACCCTCAGGAGCCATAACACTGCACCGCCCTCAGGAGCCACAACACTGCACCACCCTCAGGAGCCACAACACTGCACCGCGCTCAGGAGCCACAACACTGCGCCGCTGAGGAGCCACAAGACGGTGCACCACCCTCAGGAGCCACAACACTGCACCACCCCTCAGAGCCACAACACTGCACCACCTCAGGGCCAGCACCATCTGCACCACCCCTCAGGAGCCACACTGCACCACCCCTCAGGAGCCACAACACTGCACCACTGCACCACCCTCAGGAGCCACAACACTGGAGCCACAGAGCACTGCACCACCTCCTCAGGAGCCACAACACTGCACCACCCTCAGGCCACAACACTGCACCACCCCTCAGGAGCCACAACACTGCACCACCTCAGGAGCCACAACACTGCACCACCCTCCAGGCACCACCCCTCAGGAGCACCACCCTCAGAGCCACAACACGTACCACCCCAGGAGCCACAACACTGCACCCTCAGGAGCCAGCAACACTGCACCACCCCAGGAGCCACAACACCTGCACCACCCCTGAGCCACACTGGAGCCGCAATACCTGCACCCCTCAGGCACCACCCTCAGGGAGCATAACATGCACATCAGGAGCTAAACACTGCACCACCTCAGGAGCCACAACACTGCACCACCTCAGGAGCTACAACATTGCACCACCTCAGGAGCCACAACACTGCACCACCTCAGGAGCCACACCTCTACTGCACCACTAGAGCCACAACACTGCACCACCCTCAGGAGCCCGCCTCAGGACCACAATACTGCGCTGCTGAGGAGCCACAACACTGCACCACCCTCAGGAGCCACAACACTGCGCTGCTGAGGAGCCACAACACTGCACCAGAGAGCCAAACTGCCAACACTGCACTGCACCACCCTCAGGAGCCACAACACTGCACCACCCCTCAGGAGCCACAACACTGCACCACCCTCAGGAGCCATACAACACTGCACCCCACCCCTCAGGCCAAACACTGCACCACCCTCAGGAGCCACAACACTGCACCACCCTCAGAGCCACAACACTGCACCACCCCTCAGGAGCCACAAGGCCAACACTGCACCACCCTCAGGAGCCACAACACTGCACCACCCTCAGGGAGCTGCACTCACCTCAGGAGCCTGCACCACCCTCAGGAGCCACAACACCCTGCACCACCCTCAGGAGCCACAACCTGCACCACCTGCCAGGAGCCACAACACTGCACCACCCCTCAGGAGCTACAACACGGTGCCGCTGAGGGCCGCCAACACTGCACCACCTCAGGAGCCACAACACTGCACCACCCTCAGGAGCCACAACACTGCACACCCCCCAGGAGCCACAACACTGCTGCACCACCCCCAGGAGCCACAACACTGCACCACCCTCAGGAGCCACAACACTGCACCACCCCCAGGAACTGACGATATATCTGTCAAGTAACTGGAGCTGCCCCCCCCCCTCCTGCCTCTCTAATACAACGCGGAATATTCATCCAGAAACTGATACCTCGTAGCCGAAAACAATAAAAACTTCTCAAAGTCAGCCCGTGTGTATGTCCGTACTAATTTACTCGTCCTCTTCTCTTACTCCCGAGACATTTCAGGAAAATTCCCACATGCAAACAGCGTAGCAAACAGGCGAGTGTAAGAATGAGGGTGGTAAATATCCCCACATATACATTACTGTCCCCTTAAGTGTAATTCCAGAATAAGTTTGAGCAAGTAAGAGGTGAGCATAGAGCGGGCGGTGGCGTGGTGGCGCGTTCCCCTGGCTATAATGCAGATCCCGGCGCTTTATGGCGACTTTATGGCGATATATGCCTTCCCTTACAGCCGCGCAGGACATTAAGGTAGATGATATTGATACCGCACCTGAATGGTAATGTGTAAATACCCCGTTAGCTTGTCGCGGGAGAGGACTCGGTCTGGGGGTAGGGGTAGGGGGTATTTTCCTGGGGTCACTCTAAAAAAGATTTATACATTGGTAATTTGTTCAGGCAACTTGGGATTTAAGAACACACAGTAATGGGTGAATTAAGACACGAGACAATAATAGATTCTGAAAATAACTTGTACTTACACTTTAAACTACACCAATTAGCTCCGTCCTCTCATTCATAAGTTACGAGAAAACATTTAACATACGAACCTTTGAGGCTTCGGGCCCCGGGAGGGAGGGAGGTGATGAAGGCAGCTTTTGTGTAGGAGTGAAGTCTTGCAGCGGATGAAGGTGAGCCAGAGTTATCGCCGCTGGTGGGTCATTGTTGGAGACTTGTTAAGGCAGATGATCTACACCTAACAGATGTGGACGGTGGTGTGGCTGTGGACGACGACGGTGACGGTGGTGTGGCTGAAGACGACGACGGTGACGGTGGTGTGGCTGAAGACGACGACGGTGGTGTGGCTGAAGACGACGACGGTGACGATGGTGTGGCTGAAGACGACGACGGTGACGGTGGTGGCTGTGATGGCTGAAGACGACGACAGTGACGGTGGTGTGGCTGAAGACGACGACGGTGACGGTGTGGCTGAAGACGACGACGGTGACGGTGGTGTGGCTGAAGACGACGACGGTGACGACGACGACAGTGACGGTGGTGGCTGAAGACGACGACGGTGACGGTGGGTGAAGACGACGACGGTGACGGTGGTGTTGGACGACGACGGTGACGGTGGTGTGGCTGAAGACGACGACGGTGACGGTGGTGTGGCTGAAGACGACGACGGTGACGGTGGTGTGGCTGTGAACGACGACAGTGACGGTGGTGTGGCTGAGGACGGAGAAACTCTAGTAAAGCAACTGAATTTAAGTGATGCTCGGGATACAGTGATACAGTTGTATTAAACATATTGTATATTAAATATCAACAGTGAGATACAACAACCAACAGTATAGCAGATAAATACTGTAGCCTACATGGATGGTTCACATTAATACAAACACTAATACCGGCTGTAAAAAACACTATTCTTGTGACATGAACTGAGAAATACTAAAAACAATTGAATTTTCTATAACTTAAAGCTGTTTGATAGAAAATAATTATTGACTATAAATTATATTATTACTTTTCTTACCACATCACAACACCCGAGCTGTAAACACCACCCACGTTGATATATAAATTTACCTCTCGTCTATCCTTGCATTTACGATGACCAAGAGCTGCCAGGGACGCTAGAATATTTTACAATGAGAGCGAGATTTTCTTAAGTTAGCGCCTCAACACACCCTGGGCCGGGACAGCTTTGAGTCCTTTCTTCATAGTTCCTGTGTTGATAGTAGATTTATAATTAATACGATATTTATTATTATAATGAGGAAGACACAGACAGACACTTACTTTTCCCCACCAAACACAGTAATCCACGAAGTCTACACCCCTACCACATCCTCGGTAGCTCTGACAGACTCCACCACGAGGTTACCTGTACTAGAAGGCGCCCATCTCTCTGTTTGTATTTATGTAATCAATCATTTAATCGTATTAGCACTACTCTCATTAACACGTAAGATGAGGTTAGGTGTTCCTTAAGGGTAATACAGGGTGTCCATAAATGATTACCCTGATTAAAACATGAGAGCATACTGTTTTTTTAGGGTAATCATTAATGGACACCCTGTATAATGTAGGACCTAGCTGCGGCAGGTTAGTAAGTCAGCCCTTCGTCAGAATACGTCTTCCCCTTCAAGAGAACGCTACGAAGCTTATAAGTTATAATACGTCATTATTTCGTCAGAGGTGTTGTGTATTGTTGCTTGGGGGAGATAAATGGCCTCCAGGGGTAAAATTGAGAGACTATACTAGAGTCAGGAGGAGATACGTCAGCCAGCCTGGTTGGTACAGAGGTATAAACACTGATTTGGTAATACTCATGTCTTATAAAAAAAAGCTAACAAATTATAGTTACGTAAATAAGCACTTGGTAACAAACAACATCTAAAAACAAACAATTAATTATAAAAACAAACAAGGGCTTTAAAACATAAATAATGGCTTAAGAGCAAACAATTGGCTAGAAACATAAACAATAGCATGGAAACAAAATTAATCACATGGACACACAGGCAATTATCTGGCCAAGTAAACAATTACCTTACTAACCAAAAAATAATACAACAACAAAAACAACAGTGTGACAACATAAACAAATGTACAACCAAACAAACAACTGAAACTATACCTTCAGGGCCTTACAAACAATGCAACTAGTGACGCAAACAATCACCTAGCTGCCTGAAGAGTGTTAACCTCACCTAACTCTCCCCTTACTCCTTAAAACACTTTTACAGGACCCAGACTCTCAAAAAACACCTACGTCAGTTTTTTATTTACCTGTAGTTGATAAAGAAACACCTACTTCAGTTTTTCATTTACCTGTCGTTGATAAAGAAACACCTACGTCCTCACCTACTTAGCTGTAGTTGATAAAGAAACACCTACGTCTTTTACCAGGACCCTTCAGTTTTTCTCTCGTTGATAAAGAAAACACCTACGTCAGTTTTTCATTTACCTGTAGTTGATAAAGAAACACCTACGTCAGTTTTTCTACGTCAGTTTTTCATTTACCTGTCGTTGATAAAGAAACACCTACGTCAGTTTTTCATTTACCTGTCGTTGATAAAGTTCAGTTTTTCTATGATAAAGAAACACCTACTTCAGTTTTTCATTTACCTGTAGTTGATAAAGAAACACCTACGTCAGTTTTTCATTTACCTGTAGTTGATAAAGAAACACCTACTTCAGTTTTTCATTTACCTGTAGTTGATAAAGAAACACCTACTTCAGTTTTTCATTTACCTGTAGTTGATAAAGAAACACCTACGTCAGTTTTTCATTTACCTGTAGTTGATAAAGAAGAACATTTGGTGGCGCCCCTTGAACTGCCACGTGTACCTGAATACCAAAGTGTTTCTCAAACTGAACCTCGACTCTATGAAAGCAGAAAATGTCATCCCGAGTTATGGATTCGCAAAGCTCATTAACTTACTTTTTACCTTAATTGACGGTAAAAAAAACGTATTGTGTTAAGGTTTATTTGAGGGAAGTTATGATGAGATTTTCGATCTAAGTTGTGTTAATTAGCTTAAGTGAGTCAGCCAGGTGTGGTCTGATTTGTACACCTGTGGATCTATGAGAATTATATGATTAGAATGGAAGGCCACACAGACTCCAACACCGAGACTCCAACACTGAGACTCCAACACTGAGACTCCAACACCGAGACTCCAACACTGAGACTCCTACACTGAGACTCCAACACCGAGACTCCAACACCGAGACTCCAACACCGAGACTCCAACACTGAGACTCCAACACCGAGACTCCTACACTGAGACTCCAACACAGAGACTCCAACACCGAGAGTCCAACACCGAGACTCCTACACTGAAACTCCTACACTGAGACTCCTACACTGAGATGCGTCACCCATGAACTTCTCAAACTTTGTTCCATTTTGTCTTGTTCCAGTTAGCATAATATGTTGTGTGTGTGTATGTGTGTGTGTGTGTGTGTGTGTGTGTATGTAAACGCTTATTCATACATACACAAAGGCACCAATGACCTCCCACACACAAAGGCGGTGATGTGTTCCCAAATATATGTGAGGATGTGTTGAAGGTGCCCGCATCAACGTGGATTCTGCCTGTAAACTACTAACCATAAAATACCAAAAAATATTATGATTTAGTAATGTTCTATGTATGATTATTATACTGACCTATCATACACACGCTCATACACTCATACTTCTGTTCAGGGTTCATACAAGTGTGACTTCTGGTATGATATAAAGACAATTGATAGCAGCTGTTTTGCGGTATTTATGAAACAGATGGAAATTCCTCAAATACAGATGATTAAAGGTGGTTAATTACAGGTGTTAAATGACAGGTGTGACCTCCAGGTGTTTAGGGATTGTGACACCTGGAGCCTCAATGGTTGTTACTCAGAAGAAGAAGAAAAAATATGAACTTTGCCGAGGATGAAGCTAACCTAACCTAATTTAACCTAACCTTACCTAACAGGAATAATTTAGTGTATCGTCAACTAGCTCCACCGGAAGTCTGACAAAAACAAACTTGAATGAGTCGATTAAACGAGTCATATCGAATAGATCAGACGAACGAAATATTCCATAATGCTTCTCGATTATGATAATTCCTAATAGACTTGACTGAATGACAAATTATTCTTCCAAATGTGTAAATTTATCAAAGGAAACATCTACATAATTAATGCTCTCTACTGCTCGACCCTCTGTTGTTAAGAACACTTGTAAAAGCTATTATAGTCTTCGGATGTAGAGTTGAGTCGCGAATAATCCCACGAACGAAGCAATTCGAACTTATCTTCACACAAGCACAAGAAAGCCTACATTCACGGAATTAATTATGATCCAGAGAGGGATTCGAACCACAGGCAAATGACCCAGTGAACTAAATGAACATATTAACCAGAACACTCAATATATTAATAGTAACTGCAATTATGGGAAGAACTTTAGACCTTGAGTTAATATTCGAACCCAAAATGTGAAAATATCCTGACACAAGGTACAGTACAGCAGCAGCACCACAATGGTCAGTGACAAACTTCCTCATCACGGGAATGACACTAACAAGGTAACAAGGCAGGAGAGAGCGGAAGCGGGCGAGACTTGAAGTTTGCATTTCTTGCCCAACAGCACAGGTGTTCTTAGTGGGGTGGAGTGACTGGCTGATGCAGGAGTTAATTAGTACAGGTTAACCATAACTGAAATTTGCAACGATCTAGGGGAGAGGTGTGTGTGTGTTGAGGGAGTGTCAGGGTTGTGAGGTTGTATAGTGATGTTAATGCAATACCACTAACACCTTTTTCTTTGTAGTTATTTGTCTCTATTTTTATCTAGTTTTCGGAGCCTATCTGCCATCCTCCTCCCCTGAATGATAACTGTTGAGGATCTCTGCCTTCCAGACCCTGCCAGACGCCGCCAGACTCTGCCAAGACACAATAATGCAAATGTTTACTATTAAAATTCTAATCACTGATGTTCACAGCGTGTTATCCGAGACAGTAGTGGAAGACATACAACGGTTTGGTACAGTCTATTGTACATAATGTATCCGTTTATAATCCACGCAGTATGAAGAACTCTACCGCCCGTTCACTGCAGGTCATAAAGAATGACACTGCACATAAAAGATGTATCTGGTATGTCAACTCGCAGTGCTGCGACTCTCCATCAGCTGACACAACCAGTGCAGCACGACGCAACAATCAGTAAGCAGGAGGGAACAGATAAGTGGCCCACATGTGGCACCCATAGTATGTGTACACAGCGTTTCTGGCCAACGTCCTGCTCACTGTATGTTAATATTAACATTAACGTCACCACAAAGCTTGGTTAAACACTACTGCGGTGAAGAGTTAACATCAAAATACACAGTTCACACCAAGTTGGTCCACCCAGAAAAAATTCATCTAAATGGTGATTAATGCTAATTTTTCCTCATTGCTCGCCGACATTAGTAGTTTTTGCGGTACTAGTGGATGCCACCACAGTCAGACGGATCTCTCTCTCTCTCTCTCTCTCTCTCTCTCTCTCTCTCTCTCTCTCTCTCTCTCTCATACACAGGTGGGAGCCAATGTCACTCCTAAAACACCATCCCAGAACAGTGAGGGAGGACGGTAGGGTCGGTGAGGGAGTAGCGACCGTGTTGCCCCCCCCTCCCCCGCCCCCCTACCGCTTCCCACAGGACCAAGCCAAAGCGAGACATCTTTTGGGTCCCTCCCTGGATCCACGGCTTCTGGAGACCCGCTTCACTGTCCCAACACCTGTGTCCTCCCTCCCACCACCCGGGGTCTGACTGAGGCCCGTGTTCCCTTGTCTATGTGGCAGCAGTTTCTCTCCCTAGTTGCACCATTACTTCGGATAACGATAGTGTGGATAACAAGGGATGAAACAGAGGGAACGGCAGCAGTAGCGGTCGGCGAGGAACACCAGCAGAAATAGTAGAGAAAAAACAAGCAGAGGCAACAGCAGCAACAACAATAACAGCAACAGCAGTAATATCAGCAGGAGCAGAAGTAATACAAGCAGCAGCGGCAGTAAGAACAGCAGGAAGCCACTGCCACCTGAGGAAGCTGGGTTCTCATTATCACCCATCTAGCTCCTACTGCCAGCCACATTTTCCATTCTGTCTTTATTCATTACACGAGTGTGGCGGACACGGCGACCCACCAGGCAGCTCCTCGCCCCCGTTACCCGGACTCTAACACCGGCCACCAGAAAAATATATACAGGACATTAAGCAAAAGTGAGTGGCAACATTCTCCGTTTGATGTATGAGCGACAGATGGCAGGGAGTCAGCGCGGACAAGCCAAACAAATCATGGCTGATGTGACAACGATAGTCCTCTGAATCCCACTGTATCTCAGCCTCACTTGTCGCAATGGACCGTCGCTTCTCACTCCGCTTCACCCGCCCCTACCCTTACGATGGATGGCCGCCAGCTCCCGGGGCCGAGCGATGACTTAAGGGATTTTCGCTAATGGACGGAGATTGAGTGGCAAGAAGGGTACGACTGACAGAGAAAAATGACCACGACACTCGCGACAAGACAGAGTGCAAAGACAAGGGGAAGGCAAGAGAGGACAAGGCCGCCGCCAGACTCCCCAGTTTTCTTGATGTTTTCCTCACCCAACTTGCTGTTTTCCTCGGGTGGGACGCCTCGGCCTGCACACAAATGGCCTTCCTTCAGAATTTACTTTCATAACATTGGAGTTTACCTCAGCTCGCATGCTTTACAGTGTTATGTTAATGCTGGACAGGAATTAGCATACTGATGCGCTAACCCCAGTGTTTGGGAAAACTTTACCGTTCCTAAATCTCCAGGAATATTAACAAGAATTATCCAAATAAGCTCATGGTGGCTGGCAGGAGGGGAGGAGGGGAGGAGAGGGAAGCAAGCAGGAGGGAAGGAGGGGGAGGGATGGAGGGAGGGAGGGAGGGGGGGGAGGGAGGCCGGACGAAAAGGACGAGTCATGAGGACGAGGCTGTCACAGTCCACTACGTGATGGTCTCTATTGGCCAATATTTCCTCACCAGCGATGTGCATTTTTCTCTACGTGGGATTGAATATATTTTCCTCTTCTTGTCAGGCTTTTTTGTGGAGGAAGAATACGATAGATGTGTTCCTCTGTGAGTCTTAACAAGTCTGTTCTTCCTAGTACAACCATTGTCTTCTGAGCTTATTAGTAATAATTTTTTCCTGTTTCAAAGTTATATAATTTCTCTCTAGTCACAATATTCCCCTGCTCAATAAACCTTAACTCGTACAACTAACAAGTACAGTTCCAAGTGGGTTTCTTTAAGGCTGGTGAGATTAACTTCAATTTATCACCAGTGGGTAACAATTCCATTTTTATTCAAGGTAAACTGATGATCGCTGTCAGCCTTCACCAAAGATTTCACTTCAAGGGTTAAAGTGATAGTTGTTCTGGTCTAATACTGTAATGATCTTTACACTGGGATACAGAATGGTTCTTCTCTCTGTCTGTCTGTCTGTTTGTCTCTATCTTTGTCTGTTTGTGTCTCTAATTCTGTTTATCTCTCTCTCTCTCTCTCTCTCTCTCTCTCTCTCTCTCTCTCTCTCTCTCTCTCTCCAAATTCACCATAGTTACAATGTCAACAAACCTCTCTTCCTCAAAGCTGTGCCCTATAATACTTCAGAACTCTAGACGCCGACTGAGGTAATTTGAAAGTATTTATTCTCACCTGAAATCCACTGAAGCATGTTGTTTATACCTGTACTCTGACACCCCCCCCCCCAGGAGCTGCGTGATACATGATATATTCTGATTTAGTTTTCTTCAATAGTCCTCAATGGAATAAACTAACTTTCTATCTGGGTTTGAATTCTCGTGTATATATATTTTCAACAAATTTCCCGAGCGTGGCTGAGTGGTGGATGTAAGCGGAGAGGCTGAGCTTCCTTTATGACAAGATTGCCCACTGAGATTCCACCTTAACTAGATGTCTCTTTTAACCCCTGAATAGACGAGGAAATTAAGGTATAAAGCTTTTAAGAAACTGTCTACCTTGCCAGAGGAAGTGGTAGAGGAAGTGAGATAAGATGAGTGAGCAGGAGACACAAGCTTGCACTGTGAGTCTCTCATCCTCGCTCTTATCACGGTTAATAACTTACAAGGTGGTGGTGGTGGAGGCACATTATTATAAAGAGTTTTGTTATATATCACATTACAACACTGGAGGATCAAGATATGTTCCTTGTAGATGCATACCTACACGTGTATACATACTGAAATACCAGACACAAATCTTCTTACACTTCATTCGTCAGTTTAGTCTCGCCTGACTTTAATAACGTTCCTCCACTTGTTCTTCAACCTCCTTCTGCCGGCTGCTTCTCACACCACGCCTCAGTAGCCTCCTTCAGCTCCTCATCATCCTGTCAATGGTGCCCTTGGGTGTGTGACTTATGATTTGGAAACAGATAATGGTCACTTTGGCGTCACATCTGAGGTGTAGGGAGGATGGCTGAGTTGCTCCAAACCACAGTCGTGAATAGGACCAGCAAACCTCTCGTCAGCCTCATCCATATGTATAGTCATGAGGTCACTGGTGAGTGTTATTTCAGGCGGCTGGTAGTTCATCAGCAGAGGCTCTTTTGATTTCCCATAATATCAAGGCTTCTGGATATTAATGCTATAAGATCAAGCTGATGATAACAAGTTAGCCTGATCCAGTGAACGACAAGACACCAGGGAACACCAAGACCCCAAGACCTCAAGACCTTAAGGAACACCAAGACCTCAGGGAACACCAAGACCTCAGGGAACACCATTACCTCAGGGAACACCAAGACCTCAGGGAACACCAATACATCAGGGAACACCAAGACCTCAGGGAACACCAATACATCAGGGAACACCAAGACCTCAGGGAACACCAATACCTCAGGGAACACCAAGACCTAAGGGAACATCAAGACCTCAAGGAACACCAAGAGTTCACGGAACACCCAAGACCTCACGGAACATCATCACCTTCAGTCACCCTCCACACTACTAACACAACATCTGAAGTTCCCGAAAGATAAACATGTCTGCTGTGTCATTTTTTCTTGTAAGAGATGAAGGCCTTCAGAATACGTCTATGTTCGATGCCATTTCATTGTTGTGGTTGTAGCAGAGACAGACAATGTAATAAATGAACCTTTACATACATGGTAAGACAACTTGACAAGACATTTAAGGGCCATTGTATTATTGGTGTAGGAGGTGCTGGGACTCTCTGGATACTGAAGGTTTTCTACGCAACTGTAAGAAGATGTGAAAGTTCAAGTCGAATAGAAGTTGAATATTTACTTGGGGGGTTGAATTTCCAGCATGATTTGAAGATTAGTCGAGACATCAACCACACTTCTTAAACCGGTGAGACACCTCAAGATTGACTCGTAAATCTCTGGTGCAGTCGAGAAAATTTGGTCACACATGTTGACATATATTGGCAGCTGTCGGTAGAAAAGTGGAGACATTAGCCTTAAGAGGATGGTAAAGTAGCTTAAGTTTGTTTTTTGTAGCAGTTGTGATAATAATGAATCAGGATGTATAGTGTTTGTGTGTGTTACTCTCCCTCCCTCCCTCTTCCCTTCCCTCACCCCCTCCCACACACTCTCCCTCCCACACACTCTCCCTCCTACACTCTTTCCCTCCCACACTCTCTCCCTCTCACACTCACTCCCTCTTCCCGTACCTCCCTCCTTCCCTCTCTCACTTCCTCACTCCCTCCCTCTCTCACTCGCGCTCTTCCCCGTCAGATAAGTATCGGGCCACGATCGGTCCCCTTCGCCGTCTTGAACTTTAATGAACTAATTAGATGATCCCTAACAAATCGGGACCAGTAGTAGGCACGACAGGTCAGCGGGTGATGCCTCCAGCCCCCACACGGAGAGGAGCTGGGTGGACGGGGGCACCACAGCTCCCCCAGGCTCGGGAACCCACGCATTTTGGGGGGAAATAATTGTCAGGAAATCTTGCTTGCCGAGTTGTGAACATGTGTATAATTTTACTCTTGGCACCTACTGTATGTATGTATATCTCGTGGTCTATGTATACTTGAACCTACGTCATCACTATATGTACGTAAATATCGTGGTTCTCTTACCTTCATTGTATGTATATCTCGTGGTCTATGACTATGTATACCCCTAAACTCATATCTTCAATGTATGTATATCTCGTGGGCTATGTATACTAGAAACCACGCCTTCACTATATGTATTTAGATTTCTAAATCCTTGCTTTTGTTGCATGTATACACTCGAAGCCTTTTCCTCTCTGATAGCATTCGTTTACCTGTCAGAATAATGGTCGTAATCCAGGGCAGTTCACAGTGAAAATAAAACTCTCTTAATTGTCAGGTAAAGACATTTGCCAGGTTACTACAGATACTAGAACAACGATTTGAGTTACTGTGTGGATATAACAGCAACAGTACACGAGAAAGGGACAGTTATTCGTGCTGTGTCCGAACGAGTATGTACATAAGCTCTTGGTTCTATAACGCTTCAGAGAGTAAGGAGAAAAGACATAGGTTCTCATGTCTGCCTCGTAGTAACTATTTGATATCCTCTTATCCTTGCCAATGGATAAACATCACTTGTGTTCCGTGTACTTGAGCACTGCGAAAACATTCCAGGTATCGTGTGTGTGTGTGAGTGTGTGTGTGTGTGTGTGTGTGTGTGTCTGGACAGTGTGAGAGCAGCAATACAAGTTTCAGAGTCACTATTTTCTCCCACCCTTCCTTCCATCCTTCCCTCCATCCCTCCCTCCCTTCTCCCCCACTTGTCAACACAACCTCAATGAATGTAAATACTTGAGTCAGCTGATCCAGTCGTCGACATACACGAAAGAACTGGACAGGGGGTGTGTCGATCATTACGTCATCCATTTTATATTGGAGAAAGATGAACACTAGATGATGCTGTTGTGTAATAAAAAGCTTGTTCTTGTATATAATGGGAGTCCAGTTATGATAATATTAGGAATAATTAAAAAATATATATATTAATGGACACTGGAACAGACAACCTTAGAGGAAATTAAAATAATCAACTTTGTAATCCAAAAATTTCAGCTATATTTTATGTGGAAAAGATGATGTGTGTGACCCATTAATGTGCAGTGATCCAGAGTAACGTTTATCTAGAGACATACACACGTAATACCTCTAACTGTGCTTGTATAAAATAAAATAACATACAACTAGACACAAACAAACGTACTATAAGATATTGTGACTCTTACATTTCTTTTCTCGCCCTAACATTGGTCACTGCCTTGAGAGGTTGAACGTCGGTGTGTGTGTGTGTATGTGTCAGTCATGAAGTGCGTGTGTGTGTGTGGGGGGGGGGAGGGGACTTACTGCAAGCACTCGACTCTGACAACACACTCACACAATGATACCACCAACTGAGGCCCTTGAAGATATCTGCCTCGGTGATACATCGACACCCTGTTTACACTCTCACTAAACCCGTCCACACACTTTTTATTGACTCAAGTACGTACAGATACTCAAGTGCTTAGTGTAAATAAAAGGGCAGGAATGACACTCTGACCTGGGCTAAGGGGATCGCTTGAGGTGTGGTGGGGGGGAGGGGAGAGGGTAGGATGTGGAGGGGTACTGAGCATTTCCTTACACGTCTCTCTCTCTCTCTCTCTCTCTCTCTCTCTCTCTCTCTCTCACTTCCTGTTGTCCGACTAATATTGATACGGACATTAAAACAGCTTTCTTAACCAGACATAAACAGTCACAAATCGTACAATAGCAACATTACTGACGTGTTCGAGCCGCTTGTGAGGTATGAGTGTGTGTGTGTGTGTGTGTAACTCTCTTGAAAAGCCGCCTGATAACACACACACACACACACACACACACACACACACTCACACACACACACACACACACACACACACACAACACACACACACACACCCACACACACACACACACACACACACAACCACACACATACACTGGGTTGGTGGATCTGTCTCTGTCTCTGTCTCTCTCTCTGTCTCTCTCTGTCCCTTTCTGTCTCTCTTTCTCTCACAGCTCTTAATGTTTTACGACTCCGTCTCTATCATATTTCCTGGCTTATCTTTAAGTCTCTCTCTCTCTCTCTCTCTCTCTCTCTCTCTCTCAGTATGGTGTTAGTATAATGTCAGTATAGTGCCAGTATAGTGTCAGTATAGTGTGGTGTTAGTAGTGTCAATATGGTGTCAGCATAGTGTCAGTACAGTGTTAATATGTGTGGGTATAGTGTCAGTATCGTGTCAATATGGTGTCAGTATAGTTTCAGCATAGTGTCAGTATGGTGTTAGTATACTGTAGTGTCAGTATAGTGTCAATATGGTGTCAGTACAGTGTCAGTATAGTGTCAGTATCGTGTCAATATGGTGTCAGTATAGTGTCTGTATGGTGTTAGTATAGTGTCAGTATGGCGTTAGTATAGTGTCAGTATAGCGTCAGTATAGCGTCAGTATGGTGTCAGTAGAGTGTCAGTATGGTGTTAGTATAGTGTCAACATGTGTCAGCATAGTGTCAGTATCGTGTCAGTATAGTATCAGGATAGTGTCAGTATAGTGTCTGTATAGCGTCAATATGGTGCTAGTATAGTGCCAGTATAGTGTCAGTGTGAACATTATTATTATTATTATTATTATTATTATTATTATTATTATTATTATTATTATTATTATTATTATTATTATTATTATTATTATTATTATTATTATTATTATTATTATGGATCACTTAAGGAAAAAAAATACCTCGGTGTAAAAACTCACTGTCAATGTCCCTACGTAGGACCTAACCTGAGAGAGAGAGAGAGAGAGAGAGAGAGAGAGAGAGAGAGAGAGAGAGAGAGAGCAGGGTTCTCACGTTGCACCACCCCTCTGGAACCCTAAGCGGGAGTTGAGTTACAGAAACACGTCAATAAAAACCTTTATTATGGCGCAGAATGTGTCGTGTGTCAGGGAAAAAGAAAAAGAAGAAAAAAAAATTAACCCAACCTTGTAAAACGACCTTTGATTACATCTACCGTAGCATTCGATCCTCTTAGCTTCATTAAATTCTTCCTTTTAATCAGTTGTTTTACAGCCTCTGGTCGAGAGTCTCAAGAGATTTTATAAGTTAATGTTTTCCTCTCTCTCTCTCTCTCTCTCTCTCTCTCTCTCTCTCTCTCTCTCTCGTTGATGTAAAAATTTACCCAACTAGTTCACTTCAGGTACGACACAAGAATAACATCTTAGAGGTAAGTTGTTTAATTTTTATCTCCCTGTGAGTTGGCTCTGTAAGCTTTTATTTAACTGGCTCATTCTGGCTACTACATGGGGTGAATATTTAGCTTTTGTTAAGTTAGTTATTTACTCCTTCTCTGGGTAGGAGATACGGGGATGCTAACTCGTTCATTTAACACTCCGGTATACAAATAATTTCTCAGACTTAAAGTTAAATTTCCTCTTAACTCATCACGTAAGCTATGATAAAAATTATTTCCCCAAGATTCGTAAGTTATTTGATCTTTCTTCTTATCTGGAGGTGTGAGGAATCGTCAATGGTCAACTTTAAACCAGTGTTAGGGTATCACCATGTGTGTTCTGTAACTAGGAGAGAGAGAGAGAGAGATCGTACCCACACACACACACACACACATTCCGCCGTCCTCACAGCACGACGTGTTTTCCCAATTTGTCATCAAGGTCTCATGCATGCTAATTAGGTACCTGAAAACGAGGAGCCGAGAACATCACAGGTAGGGTGAGCGACGGTCAGTGTCGGTGGACAGGTACAACAGGTGAGTTGATGAGGTGCCATAAAGGATTATGTTTTTATCTTTCTTTTTTTTACCAGTCATAAAAGAGCACAGCAACAGAAACAAGGCCGGCGAACATTCGTCTGGTGATGTTTCCATTTGTGTTCTCACTGGGAGTTGAAGGGGTTCGCCAGGCGCTGTTGGCTGTTTTATTATTTCTCTCTTTGATCAACCTTGTGATTGTACAAATAAAGTAGCGTCACAGTAGGCAGAAG